ACCCTAAACCCTAAACCCTCCCTGCCTGATCGAAGTTCAGGTACTGGTAGATGGTGTCGGAGCTCTTGGCCAGCTCCGCATGGTACTTCAGATACTCCTTTAAGGGTTTAGGGTTTAGGGTTTAGGGTTTAGGGCTTAGGGGTTTAGGGTTTAGGGGATACTCCTGCACTCGAAACGCAGAGGAGGAAGGGGGTTTAGAGTTTTGGGTTTTAGGGTTTAGTGCTTTAGGGTCTCGGACTTAGGGGTTTAGGGTTTAGGGTTTAGGGGATACTCCTGCGCTCGAAATGCAGAAGAGGAAGGGGGTTTCTTACGGGCTGAGTACCCTAGCCCAAAAAAAGGTTAACCTTTTGAAGTACAGTAGGATTTTAGAGTTTTGGGTTTTAGGGTTTAGTGCTTTAGGGTTTCGGACTTGGGGGCTTAGGGTTTGGGGCTTTAGGGTTTAATGCCTAGGGTTTTGAGCGGTTGAGGGGTTTGGGGTTTGCGAGGGCTCAGGGTTTGCGGGTTCCGGGTTTTGGGGGTTCCGGGTTTTGGGGGGTTTAGGGTTTGTAGTTTTGGGGCTTAGGCACGGTTTAGGGTTTAGGGNNGGTTTAGGGTTTGGGGCCTAGGGTTCCTGAATCCCTTACAAATGGTGATAGGGTCCACAGATGGAACATAGATAGATAAATAGAATGGGACGGCTAATGATGGAGCCAGTACACCTTGCAGACAGATGCTGGTTACTCCAGTTCAACACACCGGCCCTCTTGTTTTTCCTATGATTCGTTCCTGGGCCTGGGGTGTGGAGAGAATCCTGAAGGTCACAAAGAATCCTGGTAATCGAGGGAGATGTGAACGAGACCCTGATGTTGTAGGCATCTTTCAGTTGGGTGGCTTCCAGGATCAAAACCCAAAGTAAAAACAGAAAAACTAAGGACATGACATGAAGGTAATGAAAGCACGCTTCACTCATTTCTTCTCATTAATCTAAATTGGCCTGTTGGGCCTCTTGTGTTGCATCGTGTTACGCTCTTTCTCTTCGTTCCTTCCTTTGCGCAGGCATTTCTGTCACCAAAGGAAAAAGAGAAAGAGACAAGGGAACGAAAACACGAGAAGCACCTCCCCAAATGAACCAGACAACCGTCTACAAGCCTATAACACAACTATAGGTGGTCATTCGACATGCCCCCATACCGTGGACCCCATATAGTACACCTACAGTAAGCCCGATAGGGAAGCCCCTTTTAGAAAGTCTAGTCTTGGCTGAGTTGTTCAGGCCCCTATATTGGGGTTTAGGGTTTAGGGCCGCAAAACACGCCAAGTAGTAATCCGTATAGAAACCTTCCAGGAACCCTAAGCATTATCCTTGTTAGGTATATTATGCGACAGTTATATGCAGGTACCAGCAGAACTTGTTTTAGTCGCATTAAACAGGCCCCTACCCTGAAAGCTCAAAACCTAAACCCTAAACCCCAAACTCTGAAAGCTCAAACCCTGAAGCTCAAACCCTAAACCCTAAACCCTGAAAGCTCAAACCCTAAACCCTAAACCCTGAAAGCCCAAACCCTAAACCCTAAACCCTAGACTCTGAAAGCTCAAAGCCTAAACCCTTACTAAACCCTAAACTCTGAAAGCTCAAAGCCTACACCCTAAACCCTAAACCTTAATCCCTAAACCCTAAACCCTGAACCCTGAACCCTAAACCCTACTAAACCCTGAGCTCGAAGCCTAAACCCTAAAACGCTCCTCGTTGGTTGGGAGCCGTCCGAGGATGGCTGCCACTGCTGCGAGCTCTGCAGATGCCTGGGCTCGTTTCTGGCTCCTGTAGGGTGGGTCTGCAGGGTTTAGGGGTTTGGGGTTTAGGGGTTTGGGGTTTAGGGTGTAGGGGTTTAGGGTGGGTCTATAGGGTTTAGGGGTTTAGGGGTGTAGGGTTTAGGGGTTTAGGGGTTTAGGGGTTTAGGGTTTAGGGTTTAGGGTGTAGGGGTTTGGGGTTTAGGGTGTAGAGGTTTAGGGGGAAAAGTTTTAAGGTTTAGGCTTAGGGTTTATAAAATTTTGGGTTTAGGGTTCTTGTTAGGGAATTTATGGTAAGCTGGGGGGCCCATAGCCCCGACGGTAGTCTGCGATTGACTGGGTTCTTGTTCAGGAGTTGGCTGAAAGTTACCATATTAGGGATCTGTAGTAAACAATGGGGCTTCCTTACTGTTGTAACTTAAACGAGACCCCTTAACAAGAACCCTGGTCGTGACCTTAAGCTTCAGATTTGTTGGGTTTGGTTAGGGTCTAGGTTTTTGGGAATTGGAGGGTAAAGGGACTTAGGAATTTGAGGGGTTTAGGCGTTTAGTTTTGAGGAATGCAACTTGATGTTTGAGTTTAGTATTGTTGATGGAAATTCTGCATGACCCAAATATAGTATAGTACTACAAATCCCATAGTTTAGGTATATAAGGTCATGCAGGATTTTGTCCATCAGCCGTATCTAAGGGTTAAAGGTTGAGAGATTACGAGCTTACTATTGCAAGTGGGGGTTGAACGGCTTGCGGTTTTAGGGTTTAGGGTTTAGGGAGATGTTGGCGATTGCTAGGGTTTAGGGTATACCTAGACCCCCCAACTGCCCTCTATTATCCCCCCAAATACCCACTATTAAGGACCATCAGGGCTCCATTAAAGGGGGTCCTGGTAGGCTTTAGAGTTTAGGTCGTTAGGGTTACGAACTTCTTCCTTCGGAGCTGCACCCCAAAACCCCTAAGGCCTGAATCCGAGTGCTGAAAAGGGGTTCAGGGTTTAGGGTTTAGGTTTCCCAGAGTCTAGGACATTTTCAGGTGGTTAGTTACCGTTATAGGAGCCGTATAGAAGGTCGATATACCTTATAGAAGCCCTATAGAAGCCCTATATACCCTAAACTTCCCACCTGTAGTTTCCTTTAAAAGAGTGTACTGAATCGCTGAGGACAGTCTCCGAGGTGGGTCTGCAATCAGGAGAGCTGTTGCTTGAGCGCTCTTAGCAGTGGTTTTTGTGTCTTTTGTATGTTTAATATGTTCTATATAATAACCCTAAACCCTAAACCCTAAAACTCAACAGGATGATTGACAGAACCCTAAACCCTAAACCCTAAAACTCAACAGGATGATTGAGAGTACCCTAAACCCTAAACCCTAAAACTCAACAGGATGGTTGAGAGAACCCTAAACCCTAAACCCTAAAACTCAACAGGATGATTGAGAGTAGTGGTTTTGTTTTAGTCGCAGGGCGCTTCAGGTTGACTTTGAACATTCGGCAGACATCGGTTGCCGCTTCCATGGGCACCATTGCAGTTCTCTTGGGCGATGGATCTGTGAAAACCTGTGGTGATGAGATATTCGGTGGCGATAGCACATCTGTCCAGAAGCAGTTGCAGACTGTTCGGCAGATCCAGGCTACGAATAGCGCCTTTGCTGCTATCCTAGCCGATGGATCTGTGGTCGTTTGGGGAAACAGCCATGGTGGCGGTGATGCCGCTTCCGTCCAGGAGCGGTTGCAGAATGTTCATCAGATCCAGGCTACGACCACCGCGTTTGCTGCCATTCTGCAGGATGGATCTGTTGTGACTTGGGGTCACAGGAAATTTGGTGGTGACTGCAGTCTGGTTCAGGAACAGCTGCAGAATGTTGAACAGGTGCAAGCTTCTCAGCAAGCCTTTGCTGCGATCCTGGCCGATGGATCCGTGGTGACTTGGGGTGATAGGTACTACGGCGGTGACAGCAGTGCTGTTCAGCATCAGCTACAAAGTGTGCGGCGGATTCAGGCTTCTCAGGAAGCGTTTGCTGCCATTCTGGCTGATGGATCCGTCGTGGCCTGGGGTGGGAGCCATGCTGGTGGTGATGCCAGTGCTGTCCAGCAGCAGCTGAAGAACGTTCAACAAATCCAAGCATCACATGTGGCGTTTGCTGCCATTTTGGCCGATGGATCTGTTGTGACCTGGGGTGACAGATTTTCTGGCGGTGACAGCACTGCAGTTCAGGAGCAGCTGCAGAAAGTTCAGTGCATCCAGTCCTCTCAGCAGGCATTTGCAGCAGTTCTGGCCGACGGATCCGTGGTGACTTGGGGGCATAAGAAAGTCGGAGGTGACAGCAGCCTCGTGCAGGAGAAGCTGTATAATGTGCAGCAGATCCAAGCTTCTCAACAAGCCTTTGCTGCAGTTTTGACCGATGGAACTGTTGTGACTTGGGGGCATAGGCATTTTGGTGGTGACAGCAGTGCAGTCCAGGCACAGCTACAGAATGTTCAGCAGATTCAGGCTTCAGCGGGTGCATTTGCCGCCATCCTAGCAGATGGATCCGTGGTGACTTGGGGTGACAGACGTTACGGCGGTGACAGCAGCTCTATCCAGGAGCAGTTGCAGCATGTTCAGCAGATTCAGGCGGCTGTAGGCGGCACTTTTGCCGCCATCCTGGACGATGGATCTGTGGTTATGTGGGGTTATGGTGATTCTTCCGATAGTCGCTTTGTAGATGTCGAGGAGTTTTAGTGTATTTGCCCTATGTTCTTTGCTAAATACACAACTATACGCGGCGAGCTGGAGTCCTTGTCGCTGCTTGGTAGCAGGTCCACTGTCCACGAGACTTTGCAGATTCACTGCACTGAAGGGCAGTGATGGCATTGGATGAGATCGGTCGTGGCGGCGACTGCGATGTACTCAACGTGCTGAAGTCTTCATGACGGTACTGCTCTATAATGCTGAAGTCAGATTTCGACGGTTCTGTGTCCAGATTTGCTGTCTCTGGCATGGCAGAGGAGCCTGCAGACAGGACGGCGTCATCCTGGCTGTTGGATCTTGGCAGTGCTGACCCCTGCGCATATGGCCACCAGGGCTAACATTGGGGCTTACATAATTACCCGTACTGTTTGGGGGTTCCTTACTATTACTATAGTAAATAGTATAGCATACCTCCAAAAACCTATCCTGAGTATTAATGCCACTTTGACCCTATGTTACGCGCCATTAACTTGGTCAGCCTTTTTGAAGGTTGCTTTAATCCCCCATTAGGATCGGATATAGGGCCGATTGGGTCTTGAAATGTGGGTATCCAGATGATGCCGGTGGAAGTAGTAAGAACACTACCGTTACATCCTAGTCTGCGCATGCAGGTCGACACGGAAAGCCTAGGTTGAGGGCTGTGTTACCGTTACATGCTAGAGTAAGTTTAAGTTTACATATGCTGGCATAAACGGACCCTAAACCCTACTTGGAGTTCATGGGACTTAGTAACTACAGGTATAAGTACTTTAACTGGGGTTATAAGTACTTATAAGTTAAGTATAGTTACCTGATTTATAACCTTAGTCACTAAGTCCCATGAACCTTTAAGTAAACCCTAAGCCCTAACCGTGACCATGCAGGTTTAGGGCTGTTCTAAAGATCTCATGCTTGGGTCCTATCCCAGAACCCGAGAGCCTAAGCCCTAAGCCCGAGACCCTGAACTATAACGGTACGGCACGGGACCGCGGCTTGTAGAAGCAGAAGTCAGAAGACTGGATGGCTTTCTTTCTTGTGCATGTTTTCTGTTAGTAGGGTTTTAGGGTTTGGGGTTTGGGGTCTGGGTTTAGGGAATTTACAATGGGTTTATGATCTATATGGGATAACAAAAAGGATGTATACGGGATCTATCGGGATGTTCTGTTGCTATATTATGAACATTTACGGACATATATAGGTCTTCGTCTATGTCTTAGGGTTTCGCAGAAGATGGATGCTGGCTAAGGGACAATATTGACAAGAAACCCATCATCACAACATCCTCCGAACTATCATCAGGGGGTCAAGGACACAACAGTTGTAAGTTGTAAGGGTCTCTTGAGGAGTCTAAACTTAACTGGTGTGCTGGGTTTCTGTCTAGGGTTTAGGGTGCAAGTTTTAGTTTGGTTTGCGAAGCGTAGAGACACAGCTTCACAGAGCCAGGGTCAACATTTCTCTCTCTGATACAGCACCGGCTCTACTGTCGTTCCAGTCAGAAACCTGCAGCTGTCCATTCCCTTCACCGTCCGCCCTAAGCTTGTCCCAGATTTCAATCCTACTTCAAAAACCCAGAAGCTATTCTGTTGCAGGTTAATAATGGTTACTACCATGATCCGCAATCTAGAAAGTATGGGGAGCCTTCAAAAAAACAGATTTTAGTAGGTTAATGAGGGGTTTAGGGCTTAAGGTTTTGGGTTCAGGGTTTAGGGTTTCGGTTGAATTGCCAAGGTCCACAAGCCACAGCGCACCAGCAAAACACCCGCTACGCCGACATTCCACAGAATTCGTTTAAGATTTCAACCCGTAAATCCCCTAAGAGTCCATGTGCCCAAATAGATCCTAAACCCTAAACCCTAAACCCTATACCTTAAACCCTAAACCCTAAACCCTATATACACCGGCCCTAGAGTCCTTATTTTGGGACGACCTTGGGGCCAAAGTATATACTGTTCGCATGACCCTACCGGCCCCACAGACCCTGAACAACCCAGCACCCCTAGGGTTTAGGTGTAGGGTTTAGGAGCCTGATTAATGTTTCCCTGGCCCTATAACCCCAATATACTAGCGCAACACCAGGGTCTCTTAATCAGGTTCCTATACTAGCAGTTCCACAGCACTCGCAGGTGAAATGCCTCGTGTGCTCGGATGTTGTTGCCCGTGGAATCGACATTCCAGCCGTTACTGCCGCTTGCGCTGGCTCAGAACCCTAAGCCCTAAATCCGAAACTGGAAACGCTAAACCCGAAACCCGAACCCCTAAACCCTAAATCCCAAAGGTTTAGGCTTTTTTGTGTTCTTTTGGAGCCTCTAGAGTCGTTATGAAGCTTATACAAGCCCTAGACCCGAAACCCTAAGCCTTAAGCCCGAAACCCTCCCTTAGACCCTAAATCCTAAGCCCTAAACCCTAAATCCTTGCCCTTGAAACCCGACATCCTGCATAGAGTGCTCTCTAGCTTTGTTACCTGTACTTGGGTAGTTGTCAAAATTATGGTGCCTTTTTGGGGTACCCTAAATATTAGGTGCCGTACTATTATAAGGACCCAAAAAGGGACCCTAATTTTTGACAACCACCCACTTAGAGCTTGGGAGACTCAGAATTTTGTAGGATCCAGGGGCGTCGTTAGCAGATCCCTGGCAGGTACTGCGAAAACGCTTAGGGTTTAGGGTTTAGGGTTTAGGGATATGCCTACATGCGGAGCTTCAACACGGAATTTTGATGATTTGTTCTTAGTATAAACCCTACAGCCTGGATTTTAAACCCCAAACCCCAAATCCAAAACCCTAAACCCTATAACTAAGCCCTACTTGAAGGTTCATGGGACTTAGTTTCTAGGCTTATAAATAAGGTAGCTATACTTATAACTACTTATAACCCCGATTAGGGCACTTATAACTGTACTTATTAAGTCCCATGAACCTCCAAGTAGACCTTAATCCGTGAAGACTCTACTTTGTGCAATGTAGATTCTTTGGATCCTTCCCAGACCCCTCCAGGAAACCTACCTAGGGTTTAGGGTTCAGGGTTTAGGGTGCAGGGTTTAGGGTTTAGGATTTAGGGAACCCTGTTTCCTATAATCCTTGCAGTCGAAATATTTCCAAGGCGGTGGTCAACTACACGGCACCCTCGCACTTGCAGACGTACCTCGGCTTGAGGATTTTGTGGCTTTGGGGTTTGGGTTTAGGGTTTTCCAGGACCCCCAAACCGCCCCTTATTAGAGCCCTTATGGTCCTTAATAGTGGGTATTTAGGGTATATTAGAGGGTAGTTGGGGGGTCTTGGTTAGGGTTTAGGGTTTAGGGTTGAGGATTTTGTGGTTCGGGGTGTGGGGATTAGGCTTCAGGGATTTGGGGACGAACTCAGCGGTCTGAGTTCTAAGGGCTGCGAGCTTAGGGTCCCTTTTAGGGTCCTTTTTGTAAGGGTGCCGTCCTATATTGTGGACCCAAAAAGGGACCCTAATTTAGAGAACTGGAAAAGTCACTAAATTGCGCCGACTTGCGCGTTCTGGATCCGGGTGGAAGACTTGAGAGTGTAAAGCATTGAAAAATGCAGGCACCGGTTCGAAGGGCCAGGGTTAAGGGGTTTACAAAAATGTAATCCCTTCAGGGCTTAAGGTTTAGGGGTTAGGGTTCCTTTAGGGTTTAGGGTTTAGGTTTTAGGGTTCCTTTAGGGTTTAGGTTTTAGGGTTCCTTAAGGGTTTAGGGGAAAAGAGTTGAAATTATGGAGGGATCCCCATCATGCTTTCCTATAGTAGCTGAATCAGTACGCTTTTGACTTTGGGGGATAAGATTACCAGCCCGATAGAACTGAAACTTCACCTTCTTTGGGGCCTATGACCTCAAACCTAAACTCAAAACCCTAAACCCTAAACCTTGAACCGTAAACCCTAAACCCTAAACCCTAAACCCTAAACCTTAAACCTAAACCCTAAACTAACTCAACAACTCGGGCAGCTTTAAGGTAGATCTCTCTGAAGCCTCTGGGTTGATGGATTTGAGGACATGCCGGTTTAGGGTTTAGGGTATAGGGTTTAGGGTTTAGGGGTTTAGGGTTTAGGGTTCAGGGTTTAAGGGTTTAGAGTTGAGGGTTTAGGGTTTAAGGTTTAGGGGTTTAGGGTTTAGGGTTTAGGTTTAGGGGTATAGGGTTTAGGGTTTATGCTTTAGGCGTTTAGGGTTTAGGCTTTAGAGTTTAGGGTTTAGGGTTTAGGGCTTAGGGTGTAGATGTAACCCTGAGGGTCCATGTATGCAAGTAGTATATACTTTGGCCCCAAACTAAAGTAGTCCCTATATAGGTACTTTACGGCCAAAGTACATAATACTAGCTGGGCACATGGACCTTTAGGGTAACTCGGACTTTCCGACTCTCCGTAAGCCATAAAAGGATTTGGGGTTTAGGAGGTATCCCTGAACTCACCTGCAGGCAGAGTATGTAGACTGATTGGCTTTTATAGATGTGGGGCCCTTGCGGTACCTGCTTTTGGTGGATTAAGTAGGTACTAGTTTAGAAGGACACCTCATTTGGCCTCCCTTTTGTCAGGCCATAAAACCGAATAAGAAGCCCAAAACCCCAAACGATGGTGATCAAAGACGGGATGTAGGTGGGCAGCGTTAAGATCCCTGATATGCCACGGTTTCGGGTTTGGCGAGTCGGGGGACTTAGTAAGTGGGTAACAAATAGACTTACAAGTACCCTAAAAGGGATCCTAATTGGGGTTATGATACTTAGAAGTCTCGAAAATAACTACTTACTGAGTCCCCCGACCCTCCAAAACCACCCCAACCTTCGAGCATCTAAACCCCAAAGCCTAATACCTGGGCTCAGGGTTCTAACAGACAAAACCGAAAGTTCTTGTTGAGCAATTCTTGTCTTAAAGGCGGCTGGGTCAGGTACATTCACCGAGTTGGTCGCACAGCCCGGGCGGGAAAAGTTGGCCACACTTTTACCTTCGTCGCGAGCGCTCCGGCTTGAATTTCGGCTGTTTTGTTTGTGCTTGAGGGCTAGCGGTGCGGATTACAACCCTAAACCCTAAAGGCGTTTGAGTGGTACTCAGGGCTTAATTAGGGATTTGAATCAGGGTACAGAGTTTCAAGACTGGTTCAAGGGTCTGTTGCCAGTGAATTTGGGAAGTCCTAGTCTGTCTGTGTTTGAAAGGTTCTTTAGGATTCAGGGTTTGGGTTTAGGATTCAGGGGTTCTAGGCTGCTTTAAGATGTAGGGGTTGGATTACCCTAAACCCCAAACCCTAAACCCTAAACCCTAAACCCTAAACCAAAACCCTAAACCCTAAACCCTAAACCATAAACCCTAAACCCCAAACCCTAAGTGGCCTTCTCGCTTGCACGCACATGCTCAACCCCACGCAGACCTGAGTCTGCAGCCAGTAGACCTTGAGGTCCACAACGACGGTTTAGGGTTTAGGGTTTAGGGTAACCTTAAAACCCCAAGCCCTAAATCATGAGTAGTCAGCATCAATCACTTAACCTAGGAATCGAAACCGTACCGCGAGCCTCTTTAGTAGGACGCATCAAGAACTTATAGTAAGGAGCCCTAAATAGGTAGGTTCTTTGGGGTCCAGGCAAACCCTAAACAGCCTGGACTGGAAGTCTATGCTCTTGTGTTACTTGTTGCTCTGCTTGCAGAAAACAGGGTGTGGGCCTCTTCGGCAACTGCGATCCTTCAAGCTTCATCCTTTGGTTTAGGGTTATGGGTTCCCGGACCCCTAGAAGAATCTAGATGGTAGATCCCGAATGGGGTTCCTTATGATAAAGTAACGTTTGGTATCTCGGTCTAAGGTAGAACCCATGGGCCCCTAGTATGGGCCCTTAACCCTGGGACCCTAATATACCTACTATATACCCTACATATACATTTAAGGGACCCTAGAATCCCCTAAGCGCCCATGTTAGGGGCCCATGGGTTCAACCTTAGATTCGGGTACCCGATTAGGGTCCTCAATGGGGGTCTGGGGTTCAGGCTAGGACAATGGTGCGCAGAACCACCAACACATCTGTGTAGCGTTGAGGGGCTGAAGAGTATAGGTTTGTACTAGGGTTTAGGGTTTAGGGTTCAGGGTTTAGGGTTTAGGGTTTAGGATACAGAGGTTTTGGAATATGTTGTAGCACGAATTGCTCCCCAGAGGTTCCTGTTTATGAGTGTAGTAGAAGATACTCCAAAACCCTCTTCCAGTGCTTCAGGCCTCCCTATTCGGTTCATGTATGGTTTATGGAGGATGTATGGAACTCCTCAGGGACCGAAGATGTAGACATGGGTTGGGGGTGCACAGTCCTGTAATGTTTTTTGGGCGGTAAAGAAGTTATCAGCAGTCATTGGGGATCCCATTCGACTCCAAATGAGCCTCACACACCCTCAACCCCTGTGGCTTCAGGGTTTAGGCTTCAGGGAGAATGAGTCGAAAGCCTTCTTACTCTAAACCGTAAACCCTAAAACGCGAAACCCTGAACCCTCAACCCCTAGACCCTAAACCCTAAACCCTCAACCCCAAAACCGCGAAACCTTGCAGTCAACTTTCCAGGTGGCGATCACGAGCGCTTCATGGCGATGCTGCAGCAAAGCGCCGACTGCTGGGAGCGGATTAGCCCCTTGAAGTTTTAGGGTTGAAGGGTTTACGGCTTTTGGGGCTTACGGGTTTAGGGCTTAGGGGCTTAGGATTTAGGGTTTAGGGTTTAGGGGCTTTGGGCTTAGGGTTTGGAGGGTTCATGGTTTTCGGGATTGGGGACATGACCATGCCTACGCCACCCAGCAGCCCTTGTTCTACTCACGGACCCTTCAGTTAGGCTCCTCCTCTAGGGTTCAAGGTTTCGGGACTAGAGGGCATCGCCCAAAAATCCCCTACACCTCTAAACCCTACAAGCCCTAAACCCTAAACCCTCTAAACCCTAGAAACCCTTAACCCTAAACCCTAAATTCCATAAACCCTAGACCCTAAATCCTAAACCCTTTAAGCCCTACACCCTAACCCCTCAATCCACCAAAACGGCTAAACACCAAAGGCCGTCGACCCGACGATCTGGGCCGGACCTTCCAACCCGAAGACAAGCACAAAGGGGTTTAGAGTTGAAGGTTTAGGGTTTAGGGTTTAAGGTTTATAAGGTTCAGGGTCTAGGGTTTAAGGTTTAGGGTTTAGGGTTTAAGGTTTAGGGCTTAGGGCTTCGGGTTTAAGTTTAGGGTTTAGGGTTATAGGGCTCTAGAACTTAGATTCATTAAAGCGGCTCCTATACAGAACATTAAGGAACCTTTTAGCAGTTTGGGTCCTAAACTAAGGGGTTCTACTTTTTGGGATTGTTAGATCTTCCCGGGGTTCTGGGAACCCGAAGTAGGTCCTGTCCCCCACAAGGGTTGTAAGTCTTTGGCAGGTACCTGATGCTAACGGGATTCTGCAACCCTAAACCCTAAACCCTAAACCCTAAACCCTAAACCCTAAACCGCAATTGTCCGATAGTTACGGGATTCTGCGAGTAAAGGTTTTACGGGATCCTTAGGGCCTTAGAATTGTAGGGTTTAGGGTTTAGGGGTTTAGGGTTTAGGGTTTAGGGTTTAGGGTTTAGGGTTTAGGGGTTTAGGGTTTAGGATTTAGGTCTGCTTCTCGACTGGGAATTGCTACTGTGGTTTATATGGTATCCTCTATATATATATATATATATATAGATAAATATCGGTACTTAGGTTCCTTGGGGAACGCAAGACCTGTCCTTTTATATCGAGTTGCGATGATAATCCTTTCCGAATCTCAGAAACCTGTCTTACTCAAGGTGCCAGAAGTTTGTGTGTGTGGGCTTTCTAAAGCAAAAATCGGGATTCCTACTTCTGGCCCTCAACCCTGAACCCTAAACCCTCTGTCGGCAAGAATCTGGCCCGCAAGAGGCCAAGTGCAGGGGTTTCACTTGGTTTACGGATCAGGGTGTTTCGGTCACAAGGCACTCGAATGCTTGGCACAAAGGGTTTACGGTATTCACTGCCATCTGATTTTCTCTCTTGCGGTGCGAAGTATTCTCCACAACTTCTGCTACCTCGTGCTATAGTTCTGGCCTGAGTCATTACCAGTATTGTTTCTTAGGTGCCCCCAAAACCCTAGACCCCCAAACCGCAATGGCCCCTTCTTAAATCGTTCTGTACCCCCTAAACCTGAAACCCCAAACCCAAGCCCTAAACCCTAACCTCTAAACTCCCTTATAGATCCCCTCATACAACTATTATGGACCCCTTGAGATGGAGCCCCCCAAAAGCCCTAGCCCTAAACCCTAAACAACCCTATACCCTAAACCCTAAACCCCAAACCCCTTCGGTCATAATGCTACTACTCTTTACTGGATCTACTGAGGCCCCAATAACAGGCTCCTCCTGGTAAGGAATTCTAAACTGTACTGCAGTTGCCTAAACCCTAAACCCTAAACCCTAAACCCTAAACCCTAAACCCTAAACCCTAAACCCTAAACCCTAACCCCCCCCAACAAAAAACCTTCGGCCCCCGGTGTCGTCCGCGCTGCTCAGGCAAGTTCACGCTTCCGCGGGCGGCGAGGACAGAACCACCTTGGTGGCCAGAGGCCCTAACCTTCAGGGGCTTAGGGGGTTTAGGGCTTAAGGTTTAGGAGTTTGGGTTTAGGGGTTTTCGGGGGGTTTGGGGGGTTTAGGGTTTAAGGTTTAGGAGTTTGGGCTTAGTGGTTTAACTGTTCTGGGGGGATTGGGGGGTTTGGGGGGTTTGGGGTCTAGGGTTTAAGCTTTAGGAGTTTGGGTTGAGGGGTTTGGAGGGTTTGGGGTTTAGGGTTTAAGCTTTAGGAGTTAGGGTTTTGGGGTTTGGGGGGTTTGGGGTATAGGATTCAGGGTTGAGGTGGCCAGAGGCCCTTACCTCGACCATCGAGAGGATCCAAAAATTAGATCCTTTAATGGGTTTTCCTGAAAAGTACCACTTAGTGGCATAAGGTCCCAAACTAAGGGATTTATGGTTTAGGCATTTGGGGGCTTCAGGGTTTAACGTTTTTTGTTTTTTTTTGTTTGCGCTGACGCTTTCTGCCGGTTTCGGGTCTAGGTCATAGCGAGCCTAATAGGTAAACTTTAAACTTTTTTGGTATATTCAACGCCTACTAAAAGAAAAGTTTAATTTTTTTTGGGCCAGGGTACTGGGCTTAAAGGAGGTTTTAGGTTTTAGGGTTTAGGCGGCTTTGCTCAGCAAACACGGCCTTCAGCCTCAGTTGGGTCTGCCGGACTGCTGGCAACAGACTGAGAAGAAGAGAAGACTAATATCATTTTTAGGGTTTGGCTTAGGGTTTGGGTTTAGGGTTTAGGGTTTAGGGTTTAGGGTTATATCGCCTCAACTATACTTCAGTAGAATGGACCCCAAGATTCTGTCAGCATCATCACGGCCCCGCACGTTACCACGACAAACCCCAAGCCCTCCTCAACCCTAAACCGCGGGTTTAGGGTTTAGGGTTTAGGGTTTAGGGAAAACCAGATCCCCGTAGAGTCTTGAACAGTCCCAACACACTGCGTGGGACTTAGTAAGTAGATATTTTGTAGACTGATAAGTATCAGAACCCCAATTAGGACACCTTTTAGGGTACTTATTAAGTCTACTCACTACCTCCAAGCGTTGGGGGCTTTTGGGGCTTGGTTCTAAAATTTACGCTCAGCTTATTCCGGCTGATCTAGTGTTCGTCCTCTCAGGGGTGTGATCGAGCAGACCCAAAACCAAAACCTTTAAGCCCCAAGCCTAACATACGGGCCTAAATAATTGCCTATACTATTTTGGGGGTTCCTGATTATAACGATACTATAAAGGGCCCCAAAGCCCTATTCTAATTATTGAGGCCCCTACATTAAGCACAACCTCATACTGACCGACCCCCCAAATCCTAGACAACCCATGGTAAAAGTTCAATAGAACCCTTTCAGCAAAAGCCGATTTTTCCTTAAATGGCACAAAGGCACAAAGAAGCCCCACACCCCTGAATCCTGAACCTACTACGAGTAGTTGGGCAAGTCGCATGACCGGCCCTAAACCCTAAACCCTAAACCCCTAAACCCCTAAACCCTAAACCCTAAGCCCTAAGCCCTAAGCCCTAAACCCTAAATGCCCTAATTCCTAAACCGCCAGGCATTGGAGATGCTGCAGAGGCAACTTCCAGGGCCTCTGTCCTTAAGGTCTACCTGAACTTTGAGTGGGTTTGGGGCTTAGGGTTGAGTTTCGTTGTTTAGGGTTTAGGGTCAGTCCTTATTGTGGTCTCCATATATATATATATATATATATATGTCCTATTAACTGGGCTTGGGAGTACCATGCTTTAATACTTTTTTGGGGACCTGTTCCTTAAAGGAACCATTATGAAATACAAGTCTATACTTTTTTCTTCCTGGTTACTTCAAAGCCCAGTTAAGTCGTTCCAAAGGTAGGTTCTCTGCGATGTTTTTTTTTCTCTGCAGGGTTTAGGGTTGAGGTTTCAGAGGTCAGGGGTTATGGCTAGTGTTTAGGGTTTAGGGTTTAGGGGCTTATGGGTTTTAAGGAAATGGGTTCCAGGATTTACCGCCTCAGGGTTAGAAACACACACACACACACACACTCTCTTGAGGTGTTACCCTAAACCCGAAACGCTAAACCCTAAACCCTAAACCCTAAACCCTAAACCCTAAACCTTAAACCCAAACCGACATTTGCGGAGGTGCTTGGATGCAGAGTCGAAAGGGCGACTGAGAACCTCGGCTTACCATAACTAAGTTTTAGGGTCCATGTACCCAAATAGTAGGGTTTAGGGNNTATATAGGTACTTTAAGGCCCATGTATATGCTATATGAGTACATGGACCCTTAGGGTAAGTTCCTGAGTAGCACCTTTTTGCCCTTTTGTGTTCGATGGTTCCCCTCTGAAAGCTGAGTCACAAAACAAAGGGCACCCTTATCATTAAGGGGTCACTCAGGCAAACGATTAGCAAGAATAGCCTTCATTATCGACCGCGTATCTCATTAGAAGTATGCCCCGGACCCCTAGTCTACTTATTGAGTTTCTTTTCGCAATGAAAACCTCCAAAACCTTCGGCGAATTCATCAGCAACTTTGAATTCCCGTGAAGCCATATCAAAGTACACCTCGTGACCCGAGTTTTGAGGATCTGAGGAACCCTAGTCTTCCATAGGCTTCAGGACCTGTGGTTTTAGGGGTTTAGGGGTTTAGGGTTTCGGGGTTGAGGGTTTCGGGTTTGAGGGTTTTAGGGTTTAGGGTTTTAGGGTTTGGGGTTTTAGGGTTTAGGGTTTTAGGGTTTAGGGTTTAGGGTTGAGGGGTTTAGGGTTTAGGCTTTGGGGCTAGCTGTGTTATGACGCCCTGGTAAAGCCTAGGTTCCTTCCGTGAGTGCCCAAAACCATGTACTCGCTGCTTCTGTATAATATAATATGAGCCTTTTCCTTCTATAGAGTCCTGCAGAGCACCCTCATTATGGAACCCTCTTTCTTATACTTAATAATAGAGCATAAAAGAACCTTATATACATAGAGCCCCTATGGAACCGAAATATATAACCCGCAATAGTATCCCTTAGGGTTCCTCATTACAGCTTCAGTACCATGTACACCCAACACCCTGTTTGCAGTTTTGACCCTAAACACGAAACCCTAAACCCTTAACCCTAAAACCTTGACCTGAACAGGAAGGACCCAAAGGGTCCTGAGTACCTTCTACCCTAAACCCTAAACCCTAAACCCTAAACCCTAAACCCTAAACCTCTCAGGACTTATGTTTGAAAGCTTTTGGGCCCAGAGGCTGATGCCATGCTAAAAAAGGCTTTTGGGCTAGCTTGAGCAGGTTCAGGGCTTTCTAACGTGTTCGGTTTAGGGTCTAGGGTTTAGGGTTTAGGGTTTAGGGTGTTCATAGGGTTTTCGAAAGGTTTCTGGGCCCTAAGTACCTACATAGTACACTGTTTGGGTTTTACGGTATCAGGAGCTATGGTTTTGATTTGCGTACTCATCCCAAATGTGCGTAATTAGGATCCTTACGGGTAGGAACAAACCCCTCTTGCTAGCGATGGCCGAGGACACAGAAGTACCAACAGAAGGGAGAACCCTACATGCCACCAAATTAACAAACACTAATTCAGGATTGAAAGCACGCTCTTGAAGCTCGTAAAGTGAACAGAAGCCCCGTGAACTCCCCCTCCATTCAAGGCGTCCTAAACCCCACACGGCCGTAAACCCTAAAGCCCGAAACCCAAAGCCCTATCCTAAACCCTAAGCCCCTGAACCCCAGACCCTAAGCCCTAAACCCTAAACCCACCAATGCCCATGAGAGGTGTCGCGAGGCCTTTCAGCATAGAGGAGCTTCGCGCAGCGGAGACCGTGGAGGTGCCGGGGGATTGATTTACGGAGGAAGGACTTATATGGTATCATAACCTGTAATATAGGGGGTTCCTTTAAAGGGTTCTATAAGGGCTACCATAAGGGTTTAGGGTTTAGGGGCCGGAATAATTACCAATACTATTTTTGGGGTCTGCTTATTATGAATATGTATGGTATGCCCCAAAACCCTAGTCTAACTATTGAGGCGCCTATATTAAGTTTTGCAGGGCTTTGGGTTCTAGGCTTTGTTGATGGTTCCCACATTAGGCGTTCTAGTTTCTAGATCCCCTAAACCCTAAAGCCTCCCGTGTGTCTGGGTTCAACCCTGCACCCAAAACTCTGACCCATGCGTTGCCAGGTCAGGAAGCGCGAGAGGGCCACGAGCATGGAGGAGGCCAAGTTCGGCGACTGCTTCTGTAGAGGGTTGAACAGAAGGTGTGAGCTTGGGGCCTATACTATTACTATTATTTCTACCATGATTATTATTGTTATTATCACTATAGCATCATTGTATGCTTATGATGATGATTGTGATCATGACTGTGATTATGATTACGGGTCAAGCTAAATTAGGGGCCCTTTCAGGGTCCTTTTTATAAGGGTGCCGTACTATATTCAGAAAGGGACCCTAAACCCTAAACCCTAAACCCTAAACCCTATATTCAGAAAGTCATATTCAGACAGGGACCCTAATTTAGAGAACTACCCTTATGATGCCCTAAACCCTAAACCCTAAACCCTATATTCAGAAAGTTATATTCAGAAAAGGACCCTACTTTAGAGAACTACCCCCCTAAACCCTAAACCCTAAACCCTATATTCAGAAAGTTATATTCAGACAGGGACCCTACTTTAGAGAACTACCCCTATGATGCCCTAAACCCTAAACCCTAAACCCTATATTCAGAAAGTCATATTCAGAAAGGGACCCTACTTTAGAGAACTACCCCCCTAAACCCTAAACCCTAAACCCTAAACCCCAAACCCTATATTCAGAAAGTCATATTCAGACAGGGACCCTACTTTAGAGAACTACCCTGATGATGTCGCCGAAACGCGTCGAGACCCGAGGCCTTCACGGCTCCCCCCAGCGGGTTTCGGGTTTAGGGTTTAGGGTTTAGGGTTTAGGGGTTTGGGGGTGTAGGCTTTACTTGGGATAGGGTTTAGGGGCTGAGGGTTTGGGGTTTAGGGTTTAGGGTTTAGGGGCTTAGGGTTTAGGGTTTAGGGGCTTAGCGTTTAGGGTTTAGGGATTAGGCTATAGTCTCCATTGCAGTTCCTTTTTTTGGTTTAACCAAATATATATTAACGGGTTTATAAGGTATCCCCAAAAAGGAACTACAATGGAGACTATAGGTAGGTGCTGCGACTGGTAATTCTCTGTCAGTCTTGTGCACATCGCTCCGGGGTTCCTAGACATACTGCAGTCGCATGCTTCCTGCATTATCCCTCCCTAGTACTATGATACCATGCAGTCCAGGCACCGACTTGGAAATTGCCAGATCGATCTGGGCGCATGCGGCAGACGAGGTCGAAGTACGCGGCTTGCAGCCGCTTCACTGCTTTGGACTCCTGCACAGCTAGGAGATATAGTTAAGCAAGGTATGCCTATGATTCATTGCACGAAAAACATATACAAAGATATATAAACGACTGCATAAACTTTTTGCACATGTGTGACGTGTTTCTGACCCAGGGATTCTAACATGACCATTTAAGGGCCCCTGATCGTGGTGTGGGCTCGTGATTGTATGATGGTGATATTACCGTCTGTTGCTGTGGGATTCATACAACCTGGGTAATTTGTTCACCCCAGAGTGGGGATCGTAGGGAGATCTGACAATCCTGGGTCTCTGCCACCGCCGACAGGGCCAGGGACTCCGTCAGCGTAGCAAGGGCGAAGGAGTGGCTACTCCGGGCACGAGGCGTCGGATGCTCGTCACCTTGGGCCAAGCTTTCAGCGTATACTAACTTCAGAAAGGCTTTGGGGTGCAATCTTTTCTGCTTATACATGTTGCGGGGCCTCTTGGGCTATCGTTTGTCCATTTCGCTCGTCACCTTAGGGGGTTGTCCCACACACGTGGATAGACCTGTTTGATCCCGCGTGTGTTTGACTTGTGCCAAGTCTTGATGGGATTCAACGACGGCTCAATTCTGAAAGCCTTCACGTTAATGTATCTGCAAAACAACTTGCAAAACAGATCGTGCCAGGAACCATGAGCGGGTGTCTTAAGTTACGGCAAAATTCGACGGTGGCTCGTCCCACTTCTGACCACCTGTCGGATGTAATTACCGCTGAAGGGCTTGATGGGCCAGAGTTTGGGAATAAGGCTCACGGTTTGCAGTGCAGGAACTTCGGAAGCACAAGCGGAAGTGGTTTGAGAACTTGGCAGAGCATTCGAGCCACGTGACATGCTGCGTCCAAGTCCTACACGACCTGTCTCGGATGCTGCAGTCAATAGATACCGGCATCCTCAATCTCTTGAGGCCCAATTCAGCGCCCAAGTCACTAGTCTGCACCAGATACAACAAAGCACCTGTCCTCAGGCAGCATGTGGCGACAGCACAGTTGCTTGGGCCTTAAGAGCATATCCTCCAACCTCCTATGACTACGACAAGAAGCCCGGCATTCACCTATTTATGGGTTGTCACAATATGAGTGTATGCGTGTATACATATACAGGAACATGGACTCCGCTTTTTCTGGGCGCTGCCAACCAAGCGACCGAACACGAAGACGCAAGCCCACATGTCTGGAAGAACAGAAGACATGAGCATTTCGAAACACAGACATCCTGCTAAGACATGGAAGTGGGTGAGTGCCGACTAAAGTTGCAGCTTTGGGCTCCGACCAATCAACTCTCAACGAGTCCTGAGGCCCAAACATATGCCAAACTGAACGTAAACCCAAAATCTGTCTGGTCCCAAGAAGGACCTGGACCCAAACTCTGCACATCCTTCTGAGCCCAGCAGCACCAAGACGAGCGTGATGAAGTCGAAGCGATACTGAGGGGGCAGCAGCTTATTCCTTGATCCCATTGTTGGCAGCAAAAAAACCAACAAAAAATGATCCCTTCTTTACGGACGCCCTTTAAACATGTTGGGAGACCCCAGCCCCCAAAAAACAAAAGGGATCCATAACGCTGGCCAAGCTTCATCTCCGTGGAAAAGTGGTCGACGAGACCTTCTCCAAGGTTACCATTTGGGACTTTCCGAAAGTTGGGGGTACCTTATTTTGGGGTCCTTATAATAAGGATCCTATTATTTAGGATACTATATTAGGGTCCCCTATCTTCGGAAACCCCCATTTGGACTTAGGCTTTAATTTAAGGCCAATAGTTACTGCCAGTAAGTATTAAAAAGCTAGTAATGATAATGCTTAGAGTAACTTTAAAATCCTGAAACCCGCAAAACCCAACCCCTAGACCTAGTGTTCCGAATCATAACAACAACAAAAACAAAAAAAAGGAGGAGCACCCTACACCGTAAACTTCCTAAGTCCTAGAAACCCAAGGGCCAGGGTCGACCCAGGCGCTGCCAGCACCCACTCCCAGAGGCTCCTCGAGCTCCTTCAGAGGGGCCGGCCCGAGAGCCCAAGATTATTGAACAGGCTTTGAGGGTTTAGGGTTTAGGGTTTAGGGTTTAGGGTTTAGGGTTTAGGGCCCAAGATTGTTGAACAGGGTTTGAGGGTTTAGGGTTTAGGGTTTAGGGTTTAGGGCCCAAGATTGTTGAACAGGGTTTGAGGGTTTAGGTTTAGGGTTTAGGGTTTAGGGCCCAGATTGTTGAACAGGGTTTGAGGGTTTGCCCTTCAAAGGGTTTTAGGGGTTTTAAGGTTCCTTTTGGAGGGTTTGAGGGTTCCCTCTAGGAGGGTTTGAGGGTTCCCTTCAGAAGGGTTTGAGGGTTCCTTTTAGCAGGTTTTCAGGGTTCCCTTTGGAGGGTTGGAGGGTCCCCTTTAGAGGGTTGGAGGGTTGCCTTTAGAGGGTTTGAAGGTTCCCTTTGGAGGGTTTGAGGGCTCGTTTTGGGGTTCCCGTTAGAGGGTTTGAGGGGTTCCCTTCTAAACGGTTTTAGGGTTCCTTTTAATGAGGGTGCTCTTGAGGCTTTTTGCCCTTAAGAGGGATTGAGGGCTCCCCTTACGGGGTTTTAGGGTTCCTTTTAGAGTTTCTGAGGGTTTGCCATTTAAAGGGTTTGAGGGTTCCCTTTACTGGGTTTGAGGGTTCCTTTCAGGGGGTTTGAGCAAGCATAGGCTAACCCCACACCTCATGCCCTATACTCCCCCCTACACTTTCACCTCATTTCTCAAACCGCCTAAGATTTCAACCAATAAATCCCTCAAAACACAAAGCACCCCCCAAAACCAACACAATAATCCCGAAACCAAAGCAACCCACCAACCCAATACAACAGTCCAGAACACAATCCAAAACCCAAAGCGCCTAAACAATACTTAACCTAATCCATTCTATAACCAATATCCTAACATGAGGTGTGGGGTAAGACCCTAATAGAAAATCCCCAAAAGATTATAACCCTGTCTTCGGAACGGCGATTACATAGAATAATATATTAACAAAATTCATTGTTAGTATATTATGTTAAGAAGTCATCAACATTTTTGAGATAGTCTGTGTCATTTCTTATTGGTGTTCGTTTTTTGTATTCTACTGAGGATAAATAAGGATATCTGGCATCCATAAATCTTTCAAATGAATAATCATCTTCAAGCTGTGCTTCCGCTATTCGTTTACTAATCCATACATTGGTTTCATTTGAATACAATTTGTATTTTAATTTGCCTAATGCTTCATTGTTGTATATGTAATTCATAATCCAATAAATTACAGTTTCAAGTTTATTCATTTCTCTTCCAAGATGGTTAACAAATTTAATCTTGGTATTACTCTTTTTATCTACATTCTTGTCATATTCATAAATTATTCTGTTTCGTTGTTTGCTATAAAATCTTTTACTTTTTTCATCAAATCTAAATGAAGTATCTTATAATGCTTTAATCTCATTGTAGAATTCATTATTATAAAATTTGTCTTCGTCTTTCAAAAACTTTTTCAACACTCGCAATGTCTTCTCATATGTAGGAAATGGATTTAATTTAACATAGAAATATATTTTAGTGTTTAATTTGGTTGGTTCATATTCTTCTTTATTGTGTTTATTTTCAATTGCTTCAATCACATTTTCAAAGTGTTTCATACTACAATCATAAACATTCTCCTTAAACTCTTTTAATGTTTTACACACATCGCATTCTTCATAGTTGTATTTGCAAATATTTTTAACAATATTATCAAGCATATTTAATTCATACAAACTCATATTCTGTTGATTAAACTTACACTTTTTACACATACTCACCTTATCTTTAACAACGGTTTTCATTTCAATTACATTTAAGAACTTGTTGATTATTTCCTCCTGTTCGCTATGACTAAACATTTATTATCTATTATCTATACGCAATATGTCTTTAAATGTTTTCTGTTAAATATGGGTTTTGTAAAACACAATATCAACATGCTCTCTCTTGGTCGTCAAACTTAATCTCATAATATTCTAATGTCTCTTTCTTTGGAAACTTAGCTTTAACGAAACTAATTAAGCACCTGCTTATGAGATGCTATTGAATGTTCAATCATTTACTTTCCCCTTTCAATGAGACCATCCAATGTGAAACAACGAAAGGTATCAGGGGTCGCTCTGTCTTCCAAGGGTTGCATACTTGCCCTGTCATTATCAAGTATATTTTAATTCTTAAATATCAATCCATCATATTCAAATTCCTTTTTAATACATTAATATCTTTCTTAACTTCTTTCATATCTTCCCTTAGTTCTTCTAATTGCTCTTTTGTCTCCTCTGGTGTTATTTGTTTTCCTGTCCGTCCAAAACCTGTATCGCATACAGATATATCGCCCAATTGTATGTTGTCGTTTGTATTCTTGAAGATTTCATCTGATGGAGTAGTTCCCCTTCGTTTTCCCATAGAAAAGGATGACCTGTCTTCAACAATTGTTATAACTTGTTTGTTTTCATCTTTTGTATGCGTTGTTTCTTTATGATACAAATGTTTTCTACACCTACACGGGAGACAGCTGAGACTACTAGGTGTTAATGAAAATCCACCGTCTATTTCATTCTTGTCGTCCATTTACATTATTTAGATTTTATTTTGAAATGCTTAACAATTGCTTTCAGCACCTCTAACATACTATAACAACATCTACGGTATTTTGGAGGTGTTATTATTTGTTCTATCTTCTCTATCTCGTCTATAACTTCTAAATAGTCGTCATAACCACCCATATTTTAATAACGATATAATTTTTCTATGTATTAATCATAATGTCGGATATACCAATTGTAATACCAGTACATGTTAAAGAATATGACTTTAAACAGTCTAAATATGAAGTAGCACCTAAATTACCTTTTTCACAAATAATAACAGGTCCGAGTGGCTCAGGAAAAGGAATATTACTACAATCTATGATATTGGATATTTATAGAGGCGTCTTTGAAAGGATATATATTTGGTCTCCTTCAATCTCCGTTGATAGCAACTGGACACCAGTTAAAAGATACATTCAAGACGAGTTGAAAGTTGATTTGGAAAAGGAAAAGTGTTTATTTCATGAGTATATACCAGAAGAATTAGACAAGGTGATAAAAAGACAGCATAAAGTAATAGAATACCAGAAGAAGAATGACCATAAAAAACTATTTTCTATTCTTATTATTGTTGATGACTTCGCTGACAGTAAGGCTTTTTCAAGAAACTCACATTTGTTAAATCAGTTGTATGTTAGAGGAAGACATAACGCAATCAATATCATAACAGCAACGCAAAAATTCAACGCCTTAAGTCCAATCATTCGTGTTAACAGTCGTCAGTTATTCTTTTTCAGGTTAAGAAACTATAAAGAGATTGAGACAATGGTTGAAGAGTTAAGCGCAGTATTGATTAAAAAGTCGTCCGTAGTGGATACCAAAAACTTAGTGGAAGCAAAGAAATTATTATTGGAAGTTTATAACATAGCAACAGAAGAACCATATAGCTTTTTGCTCATTAACTTAATGAAAGGTGATGTGAATGAAATGTTTTATAAACGATTTGATGCAAAATTAGTTATTGATTAGAAAATTTTAATCATATAATTTATGATTAAAATTGATTAAATCAATGAATAACTACATAAGTTTATAGCAGGAAGTTCATACACCAGTTTATCGCTTTTAGTTTCCTCTAATTTTTAAATGCGACTAATGCACTCTTTTATGCTGTTAAACAATAAAATATCCGTCTTGGTTTTTTCATTGATATCTAATTCTTTTGTCTGCTTCATATAATCAGTATCAGCAGGTTTGGATGACTTAGAACCCATTATATATTACAACTTATATTATTTTCCATCCCCTTTACCTTTTAACCTCCTAACTTCTTTCTTTAACTCGTCTATTTCTTTTAGAGCATGTTGTAAAGCACTCCACAAAATTGGTGTTGTCATCGTGTAGTCAAACTTTAAATAATCATCATTATCTTTCTTAACTATATTTTGCCATTCATTGGGGGCTTTGCCTGTTAGAAAGTCATTTGCAATAAAACCACAGCAAGACTTGCCTTGTTGCCTGTCATCAGTGAATTTGTATGTTTTAGGTTTAATGTATTTAATTAACTCTACTGCCTTTTTCTGGTTAAGTTCTTTAATGTTTTTCTTTAATCGTTCATCAGATGAAGGGATTAAAGACCCTGTATATTCTACATCACCATTTACATATAGATTACCATAAACATCGCAAACTGTCTCACCAACAACAAATTTGTTTGTATCATTTAAACTAAACAGATGTTGTCCATCATTATCTGGAATGTCATATTTTACTCTTTCGCTGGTTGAAACTGTGCCATGTGTAATATCTAATTTACCTAATAAACTAACTTTTGCATCCGTTATTTTAATTTCTGGTGTTGTTATTTCTGCCCCTACCATAATATTCATTTCGCCTAATCCATCTCCATTTCTTACATACATTTTATACTGAGTGACTAATACTTCTCTAATTTCTCCCGCATTTTGTAATTTAAACTTACCATAACTAACAACATCTGCCTCACCTGTAATATCACCAAGACTGTTAAAAGTCTGGTTATTAACAACTGCTCTGTTAAGTGTAATTCCGTTAGTGTCGTGTAATTGTAATGCTATTGTTCCTGTTGTGGGATCTGTTGCTCTATTACTTTGTAATGAAAAGTTTATTTCATTAGTTGATATTAAATTTAAAGAATTGCCGGCATCTGCTCGTTGAAATATTCTACCAGAGTTATTAACATACATGTCTCCGTTAAAAGTTGATGTATTTTGAAATGATGAAGTGCCACCAAAATTAGAATTACCACCACTAAGACTTAGTTTATTCGCTCCATTTACAGCACCGATACCCAATCCTTCCATATAACAAGCACTATGTGTATTCAATAATAATAACGAAGCACTATCATCGCTTGTATTAGACGCATTTATATTAAATGAATTAAATTGTATATAACCTTGGTCGT